ATCGAAATAGTAATAGGGAACCGGCCCCGTTTGGCAATACCGAGGGAGGATTTGATCCTCGAAGGGTCTTGTATAGGAAGGGCATGGAGGAGAAGTCCAGGGACAGCCAAACTCAACATGGAGATTCTTAACTGCTGCCAGATAAACTTTAATAGTGCCATACGAAACGGTATTGGATAAGTGGGTGACGAAATGAATTAAGGTTGATTCACTGGTAGGGAGAAAAGGGGTTTGGGGTGAAATGAGTTTATGAAAAAGGCAAAATCTAATAAAGTGTCGCTCCCCAGAGGAATAGGTTCGACGAGTAGAGCTGGCGATGGACTGGAAAATGTAGTGAGCAGCCTGCATAGTTAGACTTTCGTCAGGAAAGGAGGGATTGGACAGGGAACGGGCGATGCATCTGGTGCGAGTTGGTGGAACCGGGGCATCTGAAAGCGAGATAAACTATCAGCTATGCCCGTTGTCGACCCCTGGGACGTGCTTTGCGGTAAAGGTAAAATTAAACTTCAAAGTCTGAAAGGTGATCAAACGGACAAGGTTCATGATGCGGGAATTTTTGAGCTTTTAGCAGACAAAACTGCGACGACAGCCTGGTTGTCACAATGAAAACAAATTCTCCTGTTAGCCCAATGGGGCCCCAAATCATGCAGGCAAGGTAAATTGGGTAAAGCTCTTGCCAGGTAATACTTATCCCTGTGGAGGGGTTGAGCTGGTGGGGGGGGAGCCATTTTCCTGGAACCACTGATTGTCAAAAGAAGGCCCCGTGAGCCGACTGCACCCGCTGCGTCTGTATATAAATGGATTTGTGGGGATGATTCTGTGTAAGGGGGCAGAAAAAGGCTAACACCATTCCAGTGGTCGAGGAAAAATTGCCACATGAGGATGTCCTTTCTGAACTCCTGGGTGAGAAAAATAATCCGCTTGGGGCGGGCACAACCCCGGTAAGGTTAATGATGCGCTGCATGAAAGGGGCGACCAGGGAAATAACCCGGCAGGCGAACTGCAGAGTCCCAATGAGGGACTGCAGGTCCTGTAGCGACAGACCCGTTTGGAAGACCAGTCCGCTAGCAGGGACCGGGCATTACTTAACTTATCCTCGGGAGACGAGCCTGCATGTTTACGGAATCGAGTGTTATTCCCATGAATTCAAGAACTTGGGTGGGGCGAAAAGGTTTTCTGTGGGGCAAGGGAATGTTTAATTCCTCAAAGAGGGTAAGAACCCGGCAGAGGGCTGTGGCACAAAGGGACGAGGGGGCAGGTTGAACAATGAAAAAATCGTCGAGAATGTGTATGATGGAGGGGATGTTCAGGTGATGTCTGACCAACCATTCCAGGGCATCAGCGAGTTGATTAAAGAGAAAGGGGCACTCCTTAGCCCGAAGGGGGAGGGCTTTGTCGAAGTAATAACGACCCTTCCATGACATCCCCAAGAGTTCCCAATCCCGGGGTGAAGCAGGGGATAATCAAAAGCGGACTGTATGTCAGTTTTTGTCATAAAGGACCGGGGCCGTGGTTGAGGACCAGGGCAATGGCATCGTCAATCCGAATATACTGAAGGGTGTAATCCTCAATGGGTATGTTAGCATTTAAGCTATCCGGGGACCCCTTGGGGTAGGATAGGTGGAAAATAGTGCGCCACTTTTGGCTTCCCTTTTTGGGGACTAGGCCGAGGGGATGAATTTGAAAATTTTGAAAAGGGGGATTCAAAGGGGCCAGCCAGGCGACCAAGCTGGACTTCCTCTAGCAGGTTTTTCTCAATAACTTGGGGTTGTTGGATGGCAGATGGGAGATTCTTGGCAGCTCTGGGGAAGCGGTTACCTTTGTAACCCAAGTGGAAACCATGGCTTAACCCATCGCAAAGTCTAGTTACAAAAGCTTGATTAGGGTGAGTCTTAAGAAGTTTGTGTAGCAGGGGAACATTCACGGGGTTTGGGGGTTTGTATGATATGGGGGCTTTAGCGGTTTGAGAGTTTCTTATCACCCTGGCCTCTAGTTTTTGAAGGGGTGTCATCGTGTCGGTAGGCAGGGTGTTCTCCATTGCAGACCCTGCAGCGGTGGCTGAAGGAGCAGGGGTCCTGGCTGCATTTGGCACCTCTGTTGTAATTGTTACACGTTCCTCGTTGGGTAGGATTGGGCCTAAGGGCAGAGAGGGAACACCCATGAGAAAAATGATCCCCACTACCACATATGGTGCAAGAGGATTTTGCCTGCCCTGTAAATTTCAGGAGGTACAATTGTATATCCCTTTCCCCCCAATTAAGGGAATGGTGGGCGGCTGCTTTCCTACGAAAGTCTATATCGTAGGAGAGCCATGCAAATCCCGCGAACTTGCGGTAGGCTGAGCGGATGATCTCTTGGTAAGCGAACATCTCGACAGCCCTGTGGGGGAAGGAAGTCAGAAAGATTGTACAAAAAACAGCAAAGGCCGAAAGCCACCTATCGATTGAGTCAATGTGGGTTTTCTTCTTGCGGGCAGGGGTGGGAATATTAACTTGTTTCCCCTCGAACGAAATGGACACCCCGGGGAGTTCGCTTTCGTTTAGGCAGGAGTTTTCTGGCAGCAAAGAATCGAATTCAACAAACTCACCGCGTAGGATTAGTTGCCGAGTCTTCTGGGGGACGTGGGCTGCGATGGATGAGGAAGCTGGCTGCATTCGGGACTGAGATGGGCCGTAGTTCGAGGAACCCGATTGTGAAAGAAGGCTCGCGACGAAAGCAGGGTCAGATAGTTGTTGTCGCGCTGGAGGTTGGGGAACTGAATGTGCTGGCTGTTGTGGTACGGGTGATGGGATCGTTGATGCGAAATTTTTTAGCTTTTCATCGACTATGGTGGCGATGAGGGTGGCTAGAGCCGCTGGATTTGAGACGGGGTTAGGCGGAACGCCCCTGTCGCGGACGCCATCTTGTGCTTCGCACGTGGTTAGTTCGGTATCGCGTCTTTGAAGTCTCTCAGCCTGCGGCGGATCTTGTTCATCATTCCGAGCGCTCGGTAAATCGCCTTCCTCGTTGGGCTGCTCAACGTCACCGGGTAGGTTAGGGGCGACAGGAGAAGAATCGGTGTTCGTGCGAGGCCTTTTGGCTGCTGGGTCGGCGGAATCGGAGCTTCGTGTACGTGATGTTGGCGCATCAACATTGATCGTGCCCAGGCGTTCGATCATCTGTTCGCGTGTTCCCGAGATAGCAAGCTGGTTTTGGGCCAGTAAAAGGCGAAGGACCTCGTTCGTAACGCCTGAAAGATCCATGAAAAACTTTGGTGCTGAAAAAACTTTGGTGCTGCTCAACTTGCAGCCTTCAAAGAAAGTGGCGATTGAACGGACTGGCGCAGAATAAGACAAAGAGGCAGGCTGCCAAATAAGGAGATCGCGTGTTTGGGATAAACCGCAGTAGCGATGCAGGCTCAATAGTTGTTGCTTGCCAACATTAACCTTTATTTTATGCTAAAATATCAATTAAAACTTTTCAGGGTGGCTTACAGTTCCTGACCTTTTAAGTTTTACACATTCTAATCTTATGTCATTTAGACTATGGAAAGTTCTTGTTTGTTGAAAAGTGGAAAACAAAAGGCTTTTAAAACTCATTTTGTTTTTGACATAGAAATGACTTGATATAGAGCAAAAATGTTGCGATTTAAAACAGAAATGAAGCAATTTAGAACATGAATGAGGCAATTTAGAACAGATGTGATTTAGAGCAAAAAATAGTGTGAGTCATGATTAAAACACACTGCTGAGAGCCAAACAGAATGCAGGGATCACCAGTGATTTCAAATTGGATATAAAAATATTAGTTATACGAGAAACTCATAAGGGGTTGAAATGTGTAACTGGCGTTCAATGCTCCTGAAAATTCACTTTTATCATATTTGGAAACCTTAGTGAAGGATATCCATTTTCAACAAAATGGCTGCAGCGCGATCACCATGAGGTTGTATTAACCCCAAAGTTCTGTATTTCAAGGTTAAAAATAAATTATTAAATGGGAAGAGAAAGTTCAAAAGAATGCTCAGTTTTCTTTTTGTGGAGGAAGGGAAGCTTTTCATCAAGAAATCGTCCTTTGAGGAATTCAACCTTGTTTTCTTCACAGTGAAACGCACGATCTGTTTTAAAATGCAACCAAGGGAGCAAAGTTTTTGGTTGGTCCACGGTGTGTGCAAATTGTAAGCAAAAGGTTAGTTAACCAGACATCATGCAGTATTGTGAAATGTTTAGTGTACTAGTGCTTGGATATACGTTGTGTTCCAAATTAACAGGACCTCAGAAATAAGCACTTGTATGCACTAAAAACACCTGCCCTTTCACACTTATTCAAGGTCAATTTTTCAGAAACACATCTCATAATAAGTGCTGAAAATAGTGTTTCGTAGCCTCCAAATGTAAACATTTTCTGGGGAAGGATACCCCCAGACCCCCCTACAAGGGTTGTGCCTTCGGCACTCAAGATAATGCCCCCCGTTACAAAAACCCTAGCTAAAGCCCTGCTCCCTATTGTCTAGCATGTCAATTTCGCGTGCCCAGGCATTCACCTTATTCCCTGAAATCCCGTGAAGGGTCACAGTTGCAGCAGAAGTTAACTGTGCAGAGGGTCACTGAGGTATCAGTTTTTGAAGTGACAACTTCAAGAAGTCGCACAGTCATCATATGGGTTTCATAGATTTTAGTAACGTTTCATTATGTTATGTTTGCCTGGGTGGTAAGCCAATTTCCTGCTCAGTATTTCAGAAAGCTTCCTGCTTTCAACCTTCCTGCTTACTCAGCTTTCGGGAGTTCTTCTCCCGTTTGTTGGCCATTTTTATAAGCGAGCACGGGAATGTGGTAAAGTAAAATTACGTTAAGTCGTTAACGAAGTTTGATTGGTCAGTTATCTTTCCTTCTTGTTTCAAATTTGGTACTTTCGAAAATGAATAATCACGAGCAGCAGACATAGCAAGCATATGAGAGTTTCAAGTTTCAACCCCTTATGAGTTTCTGGTTGTACTCACCCCCAAATCCACCACCATACATCCCACTATAGCCTCCATACATACCACTTCCATAACCTGAAATTTCAATTATTACTATTTTTAAAACATACGTCAGTTCTCTAAGATGTCAATAGTTGTTTCCAATGAATACACTCATTTTATTACAAACTATTTTTCTTAAACTCTTTCACTCTTGGACAGACTTATGCATGAAGTGACATAATTCCAATTTCTGCATCAGTGGTGTCACCATTCAAGAAAATACTTGGAATTCTGATATTATTTTTCTCTGGCCACTATATCTAAGAAGTTTAACGTGGTTCTCAAAGAAGTGATGTCAAAGTACAAAAATATGATGCTTACAGCTATCACAACTTCTTCACGTTGATGTTTGTATTGACGTGGAAGATATTTACCGTATCTTGACCCTCCATACATTAATCGCCCATTTGATCTCTGTGTTTGAGGTCTGGGAGGCAAAGGGGGAGGTTTTGCAGATTCCGAAGTTGAACTCTCCATTTTGCCCAAATCGCGATCGGTTAGTGCATTCAATCTAGGGGGTCCAGCTCTTAATAGAAGGCGAGATGGAGAATCAAACGACACTACACTGGACCTTGTGTTAATTCCTGCTTCTTCCCAAGGCTTCCGAGGAGCAGACATCCCCTAATCATTGCCTTTTACACTCCAAATCCAAAAATTGCAATCACGCTTCGGTCCTTTTCCAAAATCCATGAAATATCTAACCTCGTCCCAGGGGCTTCTCGTTCTCCGGAAAACAAGAGGTCCCTGGGGGCGAAATTGGACATCTGGCAACGTAAGGCAATATGGCAACATTTACCGCCTGTTTGACGGCCATGCAAATGCTCCTCCCCAAAAAAAAAAAAAAACAGTTGCTTTACTGGAAAGGCAGAATCGGGAATCGGAAATCGGAAATCGGAAACGGGGATCGAGGATCGAGGACGAGTGATCGGGGATCGATAAACTGAAGAATTGTAAAACACCCGTGGATCGTGGTAATGTGGGCCGCAGACTGTGGGTAAATTTTACCGAACATATCCCATTTTATCTGTACTGTACTAAGCACTAAATTAAGTAAACTACTCCTCGAAGTAATCGTCTGAAATTCAGGCTACTCCGAAGCTCAATAAAGGTGAATTTTTGATGCAGAAAAAGGAAGCGCCTTAAGTTCTCTAGTCTGTCAGGATTACGTTTATTTTTAGTGTATTTTTGTTTAATTTTATCGCTAATCTCAGTATGTAGACTGCGTTGCAAGCGTTTCCGCGCGAGCTCGTCGAGAATTGGGACGAGAGCAAAAAAGGAATAACTCGATTGGAAACGCTTGCTACGCAGGTTAATCTGTATGACAGTACTGAATAACAACCAAAATGTACCCTTCACAAGATTATCGACCCTCGACTAAAAACCCTCGACCCCTCGACCAAAAGTTGGACTGATACCAGTTTAGATTTCAACATGTTTCTCTTTCTTATGTCTTTTTATGCCGGTGATGTTTTGAGTATTTACATTATGACATTTAACACTTGTTTAGTGCTCCCAACGAAAAAGTAACTAACACTCCGCGACCAGCGCCTTTGACGACAAAACCATTTCCTGCAGTTACCCCGAGGCAACCGTGGCAGTTATACGGTAGCCTGTGTACAGAGGGAAGGGGGCGTATGTACACAGGCTAGGCCAGGCGGATAAACCTCCGCCATTTATCCGCATGCTCTTCGACGCGGTTCTAATTGTGATATTAAAGAGCAAATAAAACGGTTCTTCGAACTGTGAGATGATTTCATTGTAACAGAAAATATCCCTCACTCATACTAAAAATCTGGCAGACATTGACCAACAGGGATTCAATCCGCTACCTCTGATTTCGGATTTGCGAAAAAAAAGAGTAATTTTCTCACCATCACAGCGCACTTCTTTAATTAGTAGGCGCTTGTTCCCAAATTTACCGTGCTTTGCTCATTTTGGTGGCTCATTGAAGTGCGTCTTGTGCAAAAATTAACGTAGAAGTATATACGTAAATTTCTTATATTTATTTCTGCAATTCTTCGGTTATCGGTGTAATTAGTTATTTTTTATCGATCCTCGATCCCCGATTCCGGACCCCTCATCTTCCGCTTCCAATATAGAAATTTTGTCTCTACTATGTGCCGGCCTATGTGCTGGCATAGGTGCAAGTGGAACAAGTACGGAACAAGGAGACGTTCTTAGATCTTACGAGGCACTATTACAGCGACAAATAATATGTTTTCCTTCAAATATTTTTTCTGGAGTGCACTTTTGGGGGGTGTAATTGGCGTTGCTTTGGGTGCTATGTTGACGTTCCAAGTTTTCGACGATCAACGACACGAACACGACGACGAGGATGAAGAAGTTCTTCACCCAGCCGCCGATATGAGGCTGCAGCAAGAGGCGATCCTCAGACTACCCAGGAGAGAGCCTGTCGAACACGATTACGTACCTGAAAATTGAATCTTTTAACTTTACTTGGGTGAGTTTCCTTTTGTTTTCTTATACTTTTTTATTTCAAAATTACATATCCACGGACGCCACAACGCTATACACACTGGCAGAGAATTTTTTCCAGTGATATTAAGAAATCAGTCCACGGCTCAAATTTTGTCTATGAGTATAGGTGCACAGTATAACTTTATTAAATCACGGAAACAAACGTAGCTGTAAATTCTTTCAACACATTTTGTCAATATTCGGAAGTCTAAAAACCGCTCGAGTGGGACGTGTGTTCTCGCGCGTGTGAGTGGGTTTAACGTGACAAATAAAACAGGAATTAAATTAAAAGCGGGAAATTCCTTGCCTGTAGAGGCCCAGCCTTCAGTAATAGTAAAAACATCGCGAAAGCAAGGTCAGGGCACTGTGGAGAAAAGTAAGACCCGCGTGATCTGGAAAAGTTGGCAGCGACATCAGAGTAATATGGGCATCCCCGCGTTTTGGGCATCTCCATTACCAAAAGCATAGTGATATGGGCATCCCCTGTAGACCTAGACTTCATAAAAATCCTTTGAATTTTTTTTCCTGGTTGGTTTTTCCTTGACCTCGCGACTCCCTCGGTGTCTTGGTCGCTGCGCGACCTCGTTGAAGCTGGTTTTTTCTCGTTCGCTTCGCTTGCTAAAAACTTATTAGAGGCCGACTTGTATCAAGTCTACTGTGACCCTAACCCAAATCGCTAAGGTAATATGAGAAGGGGATACCTATATGACTAAGGTTTTGGGAATGGGGATGTCCACCATCACTGTAACAGCGGGGGGAAAAGGACAAAAAATCTCTCTCCTCAGCCCCCGCGCGTTTTCCCAACCTAGCAACCGTCTTACAGCCTGGAGCAAGTCAGGGAATCCCCTATCCCGACAGAGGTGCATAGTGAGTCGGTGACACTGCTTACAGTTTTTGTGTTCTGTTTTTGGTCAGCTTAGTGATTGATCTTTGTTCTCTTACAGCAGTAGAAGAAAGCTAGTAGAAGTTTGCCGCTGTAGACAGAATTTTTGCAGTTGATCATGATGTATGACGATGATATTACCATCTGATTTACGCAAGGCATGAATTGAAGACTGCACCTCTTATACCGTAGTTACTCCCTAAAAACTAACCCTTTATATTATGTTAGTAAGCCAATTTCATTCACATTGTATTATCTGGTTATGCGAGGTGAACAAAGATGACATCGACTGACCACAACTTTAGTAAAACTTTGTTTAATGACACCGAAAGGCTAACTATTTCACACTGAGATGTAAACTGTACACTGATAAAAAAAATATGTAAAGTAACTTTAAAAATAGTAATAAAAAGGATTTTTGGTGCTAAAAAAAACAGTCTAACTTATTTATGCAATGTTGACAACAGCATGGAAATATATACAACCTCAATGTAAGCATGTGATTCTGTTCAAATTTTTGGTAAGTTTTTTTTAAAAAGAATTCTCTCTCCATTTTTATGGTATACACGAAATAGGTTTAGAAATTTTCATCTGTTTTGAATACATGTTCTGATGTAGTAGATGACTTTCTGCTCATTACTCCTGACTTCTGATATTCTGCTACTCTCTTTTCAAAGAAATTGGTTTTTCCTTCCAAGGAAATGTTCTCCATGAAATCAAATGGATTCTGAACATTGTAGACCTGTCAAAATAAATAGAATAATATTTGTAACTCTATTAACTGCCCGTAATATGACCTTGCCCTTGTAAAAATTTATCTGCTCATACTGTATACTAGGGTGTACAGCACAGTATAATCACAGTAGCAGAGTTCAGATGAGGTAAAGATTTTAACTAAAAGCTAGGATGGGGCATTTAAACACCTGGCCCCGGTTCCTGGAAAGCCGATTAAACTATCCTTCGATTAGCGTCAAATCCACGATTAATTTTCTATTCCTCGGATAACTAATGGTGGGTTAAAAAGGAGTTCCTGAAAGCGAAATAAACCCACGATTAACTAATCCGAGATTAGTGTGAAAATAAACCGGTTTAACTAGTTTTTGGGATGATTGCTTTTAAAAATATGGCGCGAAAAATGTTTAGGCACAGGTGAAGTAAAGGAAAATGGCGAAAAGTGAAGTGGTCTAGATCAATTTCGAGATGCCGGAACTTTTTTCACGTATTTGTGGCAACTGTAAGTCCGCTATTTTGTTTGTTTCTATAAACGTTTTCCCCCGATTAGTGACTTAATCGACCTCGCTAGGTGGGTTAAAATTAAATTGATCATACTTTCAGGAACAGAATCTAATCATGGGACAAAATGTGTTCCGCGATTAGCGAGATTTAATCTTCGATTAGCGCTAGAACAAATAATGCTTATATACATGTAGGGAGGGAATGTTGCACTGTGATTGACTAAGGCATTAACTCCCTAAAGCTTTTTGTCACTTTTTTTTTAGACAAAACGCCTTTAAAATATTTTGACAAGAAGGTAAAGAATCAGGCAAACATATTTTTACCTTGGAGCATTTAAGAGCAACCAGGAGTCTGTCAGCTACAAATTCAATATACTGCTTCATAAGGTTGTGGTTCATTCCAATGAGTTTTACAGGGAGAGCCTCTGTGAGAAACTCTTGCTCAATGACAACAGCATCCTTGATGATTTCTTTGATCCTTTCTTCAGATGGCTTGTTTTTGAGGTATGTGAACATCAAGCAGGCAAAGTCACAATGAAGACCCTGTGTTACAGATATTTTAACCATATTTTCAGATGTATTATTTCATAATTGCAACAAATGTCATAATGTGTTTGAAATGTGAAGTATATTATCATAAAGACAGTACAGTAAAAACCTGTGTATAAGAACCTAGATTTTTACAAGTTAGTTTAAATAGGTTCCTATAGAAATGGTATTAATTAGTGGGATTTTAGGCTACTTGCGCTCTTAATTTGATAGGGGGCACTAGCCATCAGCACAGATAACTACTACAGGACATATGTGATATGGAATATCAAGCCCTAGGATTTTGCGGTAACAAAAGTTTCCAGTACCATGGCCTTGAAACAACCGAACCAAAAAATAGTTCCCAAGTGCTATTTTCAGCCTTAGGGATCCATTTACAGAATTTGTTTTCTCACACAGAACTACAATGATACTGAAGTAGTAGGGCAATTCTTTAGTTACAACTCAAATATGAAACTGAAATGTTTAGCATCAATCAGTTTCATCTCAAATCATTCCCAAAAAGCATTATACATTACTGGTTTATGACTTTCATCACCAAGAAAAAAATATGACCAAGAAAAATTTAAAACATTTAAGGGATGGATTCTCATGGTTTCACGGAACCAAAAAACTGTTACTGATGGTTTCCCATGAACTCTGGGCACGGAACCAAAAAACTGTTTTCAGTGGGAATTTAAATTCTAGGGCTTGGAATATATTGCTGTATTAAATAATTATCTAGAATACAGTTTAGATAATGAGCATACAGTAAGCACTTTTATGCTACAGGGTCCATAAAATACTGTTACATTTTTGATTCTTTGAATCTTACTGACTGAAACCTGGACTAAAACTCTTTTTTCTTTTTTTCATCATTGCCTTCATTTTTGTAAAATAAGAACCTCTTGAAAATTTTAGGCTAAGTTAAGGTTCTTATTCACAGGTTTTTACTGTACTATATTTCACCAAATTAAGAAACATTGCCATAGTTTAAAACTTTTCAGGGTGGCTTACAGTCCCTGAAATTTTACGTTTTACGAATTCTAATCTTTTGTCATTTAGACCATGGAAAATTCGTGACAATCTTTTCAAAATTAACACTAGAGGGTGCACTTTCATCAAAATAGCAGGCATTACTACAGACCTCATCACGGCTAATGAGCTCATTTGAGAAGGTAAGCCCTGGCATCTTTCCACGCTTTTTCAGCCAAAAAATGGCAGCAAAGGAACCAGAGAAAAAGATTCCTTCTACAGCAGCAAAGGCAACTATTCTCTCACCATAAGATGCCTAGAAAAATAAAAAAAAACAATGATCAGTCATGTTTTAGACTTGCTGAAATAAAGTTCTTATGTTTGTATCTGGAATTGTCAGGCGTAATACTGCAAAACATATGCATGAAAATAATAATACTAATAAAATCTTAAGTTAAATATTTTTATGGAAGGCTGCTTTCTTTAAGGAAAATTGGTAGAAAACTTAGGAATTTAAACCTCTAGAGTACAAGGTGTAATTGATACCTCTACATTTTGTGTAAAAGCTCAGATCTCTTTTCTGATTTGAAAGGTCACCAGTCACTGCTAGAGTACAGCTCTAATATTGCACCTTTAAGTCTAAACAGAATTTCTCTTGACTTACTCTCTGTGGGTTTATCCAGTTCAGGGCCCATTGAGCTTTCCTTGTGACACAGGGCATTGTTTCAATAGCATTGAAAAGCCTTTGCCTTAGATAAAAATAGAAACAAAAACATTTTATTTTAAGTAATACTTTATCTAGTGTCATACTCTGAAAGAAATGCAGTCAAAGTTTTCCTTCATTAGCAAATGCACAAACTCTTTGGAATGTTAAATTATCAGGAAAAAAATGGTAGAACTTACTTTTCAACTGAGTCTTCAATGTAGGTTTCAATCAGCAAACTGTACATCTCTGAATGAATATTCTAAAAAAAGAAAGGTTAAAAATATAAAAACTGCAATCTACAGTTGTATTTAGCTATCCTATCTTAGCTCTAAAACTTGTGTTAAATTATATGGACTGCCCAAGAGTTAGCTGACCCACATCATCAAGACCTTGACTCTTTCTCTCTCAAAACCCAGAGTTATCACTATAGCTTATTACAACAGGAGAAAATAATCTTACTTCAATTGCAATTTGGAAACCATAGAAGCATCTGGCCTCTGGAACCTGGACTTCTTGACTAAAGCATTCCACCAGGTTTTCGTTCACAATGCCATCACTAGCAGCAAAGAAGGCCAGGACATGTGAGATGAAGTACCTTTCATTATCCTATAAACAAAACCAAACAATTCAGTGAGCCAGGAGGACAAATTAGCAATTATTGGGTGAGAAATATTCTGCAAATATCATTTGTCATACATTGACTTGTATTTTGCTTTTCTTGCTGAGTTTTTTGGCTGAAGCTTGGCTACTCTTTTCTTAGAAAAGCATGACATTAAAGTTTCCACCACATTCTCGAGCTCCGCCAAAAAGCTTAAGCTAAGGCAATTTGTCCCTAAGGCATCTTGGTTACTGTTCCTTATCCTGACAATAGCCTATGCTTTGACATCGTTTTACCAGATATGATATCACAAGTGTTTCCCAAATAAAGTGAATGCTATTTGCTGATTTTAGCCAATCAGGAGCCAAGATACATATTCAATGGCTAATATCTTCAACTAAGAAAGTTAATAAAAACGACAGCCTTTAAGGCAAGATACTTACTGTGAGTGAAACCCAGTCATCTTTGTCCTTGGAAAGGTCAACTTCCTCTGCAGTCCAAAAAGAAGCTAGAAGAAGAGAAGAGCATGCCATCACATTGGAAAGTATAACCTTCTGGCAGATGAGGTCAGGAAGTTTCTTTGTAGTCTGTATCTTTAAAATTAAAGTTTTTTAAACAGGTTTTTCACTTCTACCAGGTTTTCAAGGGTATTCTATTTTTTCTACTAACAATGTTATTGTTTATAGGGAGGTTCACCAGTTTTAACACACAAATTGTTATGCAATCACAAGCTTTTAATCAACATCAAAGTTGGGCATTAAAACATGTATTGGTATTTTAACATGTTTTTCTTGCTTGGTTTGTTCACACACTTCCATTAAGTTTTCAACGGTACTCTTTTTCTCTGCTAACAGTCTAATATGCTAGGGAAGCTCACCAGTTATACACAGATTGTTATGCAATCATAAGCTTAAAATCAAAATCAAAGTTGGGCATTGAAACAGGGATTGGTATTTGAAGCGCATTTCCTCGTTTCCAACTTACCTTCAGCCTTTTTGTACATGTCCCATATATCTTTATATTGGATGGGAAGGAGAACAAATCTATGTGGATTTTCACGGAGCAGAGGCTCATCTTCAGTGTCGAACTTCGACTTTGGTTTGTAAACTGGTTTTACTGGGCCCTGGACCTTAAACGAAATACACATGTTAATTTCACGGAGAGCTAAAATTTGTTAGAGAACATAACATGCCTTCCAGAATATTGAAGTATTGAAACGTGCTCTTTGATTTCCCCATTTCGCTTGGGCGCCAAATACCGTTGGAGTCGTCACGAACTTCAACTGTTAGCGATCTTTCCAGTTTAATTTGATAAAAGTAAAATAATGTCACTGACCAGATTTTAAAACCTTGGTGAAAGATAAGCTTAAACAAGCCTCCAATATGCTGTTGGGTGACTTGTCGAAAGAAGAAAAATTCTAAGTGCGTCATTTCAAAGTCTCGTGGCGTCTCGAGGTTAAATGTAAAAACAAAAATTCTAGAACTACAAAACAAATTCTCGAGTCATTAAATATCTTATCCAGCTTAACTGCACTTCCCTCGCATGCTTTCTGCTATGTATGTGCTATTTTACAGGCCAGTGCTCGAAACGAAAATTTTTTTCTCCCGCCAAATTAAAACCGAAGATATCGTTGAGAGTTCTTTGACTTACCTTTACCTCGCCGTTCTTCTCGTTGGAATTGTCGTCTTTCTCGTTGCAGTCGAGGTCTTCCATGCTCTTTGCGAGCTTGCTAAGGTCATCATTCTGCACGATGAAGCTATCTACACCAAGCATGTTGAATTATAGCTAAAAACTATAAGTAAAGACAGGAATAAAACAGCAAGAGTGTGCTATGTACAAAGAGGCTGAAGAAGGACTGATCGTCCAAGGGACGCGTTGCCGAACTTGAATTCCGCGCGGCACAAGCAAACTAGCCAATCAGAGTGTTTATTACATAAGTGGTTCGATTTATCATTGGTTTGTTGTGTTCCCGGGAAAAATCTCGTGTTCAATCCTATTGTCAATCACACCGTATTTGGAAAACAAAAGCGCCAAACAACAGTAAAACAGCGGGAAGCCGATATCATAGCGCCCGCGTGGTAAATACCAGCGGAGTGCTTAGTGCTAAAATTCCCGGATATAGTACCAAGCGCCATTTTGTTTTTAAGAACAATTGGGGTACTACTTGGTGTAACAATTGGTATGTTTCTTGGTTTTTGCAGTTTATTTGAAAGACATTGACAATTTAGATGCTCTGAGGTCAGTAGCTATCATCAGTCTTTTTTATTATTTTATTAGGCCATTTTTTCCTGGAAATATGTACGGAGTGGACGGAAACAGGTCGCGTTGCTCTGCATTTTGGGACGACCTTATGGGTTGTGTTGAACAGGTTGGCCGCAATGATCAGTGGAAAAAATGTCAGAATGAACGGGAAGATTACTTTGAATGTCTGCACCACAAGAAACTGGTATGAAATGAGACTTATTTGTGTAAAGACAAACTTTGAGGCCTCAATCTGCAGTTGTTCCTTGGGGATTCCGATTAGGGTTAGGCTGTGGTTTAGCGGGGTAGTGAAGAATATTGTTGTAATATCCGCCAAATAATTAAAAACTTCCAAGGGTGTTAATTAGAAAATTCGGAAGAGCCATTCAGTAGCCTACCTTGCAATTGCGACCTTTCTGTGGGACTTCTTCCTCTGGAATGTTGTAGGCTTGATAGGCAAGTAGTGGGTATGTGGGCTGCGGAATGTCGGTCGTTTCGCCAACGGTGGTTTTGCAAACGTCTCTGGTCAGTTCGCAAACGTTGAGAAGTCAACTCGCAAACGTTATCAACATTCATATGTGTAGAAGCCAGTTCAGTTCAGATTTCGGATGTCAACATTTGAGCATACAAACTAACTCTCAAGCCTAGTCTTGTAGTTGATTTCGCTCTATCACATCGTTTGCGTGTTGTTTGTGCTGTAATCCGCAAATCAATCTACCGATATGAAACAGGTCTTACTGTTGTTGTGTTCTATTAGGAAGCTTTTCTCTTTGAAGGAAGGTCCACAACTTCCAAGAGACCAGATAAAAACGCCTCCATCTTGGGATGAAATATTAACATGGTTGCTAAGTGACGTACGTTGAACGTCTCAATGTCCTTCAATTCCCATTTCCAGGTTGACATGTAAATGTTTGTAACGTTAAATTTCAGACCCAATAATTTAGGCATAACGTTAGTATTCTGAACTGTACAGTTAAAACATAGGTTGACATATCAATGTTTATAACGTTTGCGAATTGACTTCTACACGTTTGCGAACTGACTTCTACACGTTTGCGAACTGACTTCTACACGTTTGCGAACTGACCAGAGACGTTTGTGAAACGACCGTTGGCGAAACGACTCGTTGGCGAAACGACCGGTTCCCGGGCTGCGAGTAGAGGTCCTTCATCAAGGCTGTGCTCTAAGGAAAATTGAAGGAAGCCCAGTGCTCTGAAACTGTAAAATCTAGGGTGCCCAACATATAATTTGTATGAAAAATCTGAGATTTTCTAGTCACCCGAGGGCAAAAGTTAGGCGCCAGGGGCCACCGGGCTCTGCTAGAGCACAGCCCTGCTTCGATCTTCCTAGATGAGTCAGGAAGAGGTCCCTCCGTGAGGTTTTAAATGAAATGGCTTCTTTTTATGCTCCGAGCAATAGCCATTTTTGAGTTGCACCAAGCCACCATTTGCAAAGCCATTGATTTGAAAATGATTTTTTTTCTCATGGAAATAGAACTCATTTTCACAACAAAGGTTTTGCACTTAGTCATGTTTTGAAAGTGAGAGTTTTTGGAACTCAGAAATGCCCCTTTGAAAACTTCAGGATCCCACTTGGCAAGGCTGTGCTCTAAGGAAAATTTAAGTACATCTGATGATGAAGAAGTATTTTGTACGCACACTCATTTTACTGGCCTGCTGATCACCAAACTCGGTAATTTTAGGTTTTCAGTGCAACAAAAACCTGCATATTATCCTATGAAACCCATCAAAGTTTTTCTGCCATTCAGATTCAAAATGAGAAATGTGAGCAATGCCGCCGAATTGTTTAGGTTTTAAGGAGGCAAAAGTAAATATTTCTACAGGTTTAGGTAATTTTCAGTAAGAAGTTTAGGTCAAACATTGGAAAAATGTGCTTTTCACTAGTAATGCTAAAGCTGAAAATAAATTTCCAAAAGGTCAATCAATGTGGCATGAAATAAATAACGGAGTCTATGTGGCAGATCAAACTCAAGTTCCCGTGAAACAGTGAAACTGCCATGGCCCGAAACCCAGTGCTCGAAACTAACTTTTTTAGTCAGTTGTCCTGGGACTAGTAGTGGGTGGCATCTACTAGTCCTGAAGGCAATTCTACTAGTCCTGTCTACCATCCATCATCTGGCCACAAACATGTAATTCACACATTAAAAAATCATAGTAAAGCATGACTCACTCTTTAAATTGTAATAATAAACACTAATGAAAAGTATAATCTTTTATCTTGAGTTTCTTTGGCTATTAGAAATTATTCATTGCTTCCTTTGCGGAAAGACGAATTTTCGTTTTTACTGTTTGGAAAATTTACACAATACTGGCATAACATTTTTCCCTTCGGTTTCATTGTAACTATAAACCACACAAAATCCTTTTCCAAGCTGGTTTGAAGTCTCTTTCCTTGTTTGCCTTTTTCACTCTTGTTGGCTGGGAATCACCTGTATCACTAGTGTTTTCTTCATCTTTCCTTTCTTCATCTTCCCTGCCCCTTTTGAAATAGTGTAACAAAGTCACAGCACGAGAGGCCGCCATTTTCACGATGTTTTTCGGAGTTGCAGCGAAGTCGACTGAGAGAGGACTGAGAACCAAACCCTGCCCATTCACTCACTGTTTTCAAAATGGCGATTGTAAATGCAGAAATTATGAGCGTAAACAACGTCATTGAAAGAACAATTTTATAATATTACCTGCTGATTTAACAAATGTGAAACCAAGATCCACAGGCTAAAACGTCCACTCGTCCATGAGAACGACTAACTCAAAATTCTACTAGTTTTTTGCCTAATTTTACTCGTTTTAGACAAGTGAATGACCGTTAGTTTCGAGCACTGGAAACCTTTTGGTTTTTTTTAAAGTCATCATTAATTTTCTTTCCTATATTATCAGTGAATCTTTTAGAATAATCGAGCTTTTTGTGGATTTGGTGGAAGCATAAGCGTAACCAACTCTTCTTTCCCTGTTTTTTTTGCCGCTAAATTTAGCCTATGCATGCATGCAAATTTAGTTCTCGATACGTAAAAGGCGAAGACAACGTCACTGGGACTGCCCTGTTTATAAAACAGAGACAAAAATGATCGTATCTTTTGTTTTCATATTTTGTTATCTTATGTACAGGGAAGAAAACAATCACAAGTTATGTTTTAGCCAAGCGCACACAGCAGAACAAAAACCGTAAAAATTTTGCATACCAGTATATCATACAGAAATAAATTGAAGTGACTATCTTGTTTGATAAAAGTTATTTCTTACTGTACATCTTATATACACGTATTTCTCTCTCTCTTCATTAATGTGACCTACTTTGAGATGCCTAGAATTATGGCAGCCACCTTGACTGACAAAATCCTCGTAATGTTGATTGGCAGTTGAACTACAAAAATTAAATGCTCGTCTTCAAACATAACCTTTAAAAATGTTGCATGCATGTAGCTTTTGAAGTCCTCAGTGAACAAGTACACTTCGGCAATCCAACAGTGTTACAGTGGATTAAAAAGTATCAGGAACCTGACTTACACTATCCTTTGATGGTATTGTTTCCAATAGTACACAAGACTTGAAAAGATTCAGAAACAGAAAGAAAAGCTCATAAGGGCGGGAAAATGGCCACCCAAGGAAGAAACGCCAGCAACGCAATGAAAAGAACATGAACTTTACACATTGTTTGACATAAGAGTACTGATTGATGGTGACAGTGACTTACTGTAAGAGATTGGAACAAACACCTGTACAGTGCCATGTTTTGTAACATTAACCCTTTGAGTTGTTTTTTAAAGCTTATTAAACCAGCAAGTTTATTTAGGTACCATTTCGGGTTAAGATGTATAATAAATGGCTTAAAGGATTAAGTGAACATGAATAATAAATATTGTAACAGTAGTTTGTGATCTAAATAAAGTTGGTTTAAAAGCATTAATTTATATTTTGTCATCATGGTGTGAAATGGGATGGAACCTTGGGTTCTTTTTAAATGAAGTAGTAGACAAAGTATCAGTTACCTTATTTCCTCAACGTAATAGCCATCCCTCAAAATTAATAATAAAACACCCCCCCCACCCCAACCCCTCTGGCCATTTTCTCTTTCTTTTATCCTGTCCCTGTTATTATTCGGCTATTATTCCAGAAAATACGGTATTGTATGAAATTCCTGGTTTTTTTTTTCAACTACATACACACAGCAGGAATATTGTATTTTTTCAGTCCCAACAGCTGTATCAAAATTACTTTATTTTATAACACTACAGTGTACAAGCTGACTCAATCATCTTTTATCCTCATCACACAAATATTGTACAAGCACTTATTGCCTAAAATATAACTTTTTTGAGGGTTCTTCATAACTTAGCTAAACGTCCACTTTCCAAGGTGATGCTCTATGAAACACTTACTGTAGGGGCTCAAAAAAAGAACTGACAACCTAGGAAATCTTAGGTGCCCAGCACATTTTTTGTGCAAAAGCTGAACTTTTCCTGGAAATAGCAGGGCATAAATTACACAGGGAATCTTAAGCATCACAAAAAAGTTGTAAATTATAGATGCTACATGTACAAGCTCACAATTTGTGACCAAAAAGTTAAAACTCCGTTTTGTAGAAAGAGCTACTATTTTACCACTGTATCTTTACTTTATTAACCTACTTTATAGCTATATTTGTATCTCCATTGTAATTAGGAAAGAATAACCATGTCAATGGAGTCCTAAGAAAGTGTATGTATGTATGTAAGAGCATGTAGCAGCTAAAACTCGTAACTTTCTTATAGCCAAAATGGCAAGGTAAGCTGCCAAGGGCTACTACAGCCCTGATGACCTTTCACCTCCACTTTAGTGTAAAATAAATATTATAATACATTTGATCTACGACAAAACACTTAGACTGGTGCTGATTTACTCCTTTTGCAATGATCAAACACAAAGAGCTGATATACTATAGAACTACACAGACCGTTCTAATGTTTAATATTATTTCTCAAGCATACCTGGCTCTTCATACGATATATAACATGTCACTAAATAATGTATGCAAGGCAAACAGCTTCTCTAATCTCATTTTTAGACTTTGGCTAGTCATTTGTTTGAAATCAGGGATCCAGGAAACTGTTTGCACAGTACCAAACTTGCTTTGTTCACCTACTACTTGTCCGCTGTTTCCTTAGAAACAGTGATGACTATGCTGTCATAGCTGGTTATGATCTCCGTTAGTTGATCTTGCTGAGCTCTAGCGATGAGGAGAGCCACTGGGTTCCATTAAGGAAGCCATCTTTTTGTGCAGGGCTACTGTCTCTCAGCTTTTGCCCCTCTCCTTGGTTACACCTGTGAATAAGTAACATGATAAATATGATGGATGAAATAATCAAGGTTGAGTTAAGTTATCAGCAGAGACTGGTAATGCTTACCGAGACCTTGATTATTCCAGGTACCACAAAACCAAATCTAATAAATATTAATTGTATCATTAGCAAGCGAATATTAACGTTAAAAGTTGACGTTTCGGTATCATCATGACACCATTCTCATGATGATACCGAAATGTCAGCTTTTAACATTAATATTCGCTTGCTTATGTTTTAAGAAATTGATATTGATCAAGAATTGTATCATTATACATTGTTTGGAAGAAACACTAACAAAAACAATGTCGCAGGCAACACAGTTTGACATAACTCTTAGAAATTATGCATTGTGCACACCTCCTACAGAGTAATGAGTAATGTGCCGGGAAATAACTAACTAATCTGTATGTTATGTAGATTTCCAAAAATGCTAAGTAACTGTATGCTCTACGACAATGGGAAGACAGATAGTGAATATAGAGTATAATAATATTATTGATGATAGGTTAATATGTTTCTCAAAATTTTTAATGAAGGCTGTACAATGATGAGCTTAGGAGTATGCATGCAGCTGAGTTAACAGCAAGAACAGACAAAACATACCTGTAATATCTGACCAAATGTTTCTCAGACCCTTTTAAGTACTTGTTGTAGAATGCTGACACATTGGCAGCAGTGTCCCAGAGTTGAATCTGTAGGCAAAAAACTTTGGCATCAACAACAAAACCAACAGGAACTCATTTGTTTTGATGTTTCCAGTTTTATTAAGAAAAATAGAAGAAAATCTGAGACAGTTGCAAAGTTTCTTCACAAAAAAATAATTACCTCATCAATTTGTCCTGTCATAAACTTCTCGCCATTCTGTCCAACAAGGAGGTTATTAGGCACAGATGGTGCTGAAATGTTGCTCAACTGCTGCTCCTTTTTGCCATTGACAAACAGAACCTAAAAAAAGAAATGAACCAGCATCCTGATGTTGTGATTCAAATTTTCCTTTGTTAAAAAGTTTTGACACCATGTTCACTTCTGTTTCTGTTTGTCTCATATTATGGTACTCTACCCAGCATTGATACAAAAAATTGCAACCATATATTTAATGACTTTTCAAGGATCACATTCAATTTTCAATGACCACCTACCAAGAATGTAATTTCACAGACTGCTCAAGAATGCACTTTTGCAGTCCAATCTAACAGGACTTTAAGGCTTGAACAGTTTGCTCCTCTAACCTCTCTAAGTTTTCAGTTCACTTGTCCTAAATTGATAGTTAATTATTGCATAAAACAAAAGGCGCTTTATGTAAATCACCTTTAACTTCTCTGAGCTATGATTTATTTACTTCTGTCTTAGACAAGCAACATGGCATTTAAAAATACTTTTCAGCCCACTGCATTCAAAGTTTAAGAAAATTCAAGGACTTCCCCAAAATTCCAGGACTTTTCAAGACTATTTCAGGGTTGTCACTAAGATTTTTTCAAGGTAAATACAAAAATGGAATCAAAGGATTTCTTTTGGTTCTATTTTTCTTCTATTTTCCCCCAAAATGGGGAAAAGGACTTTTCAAGGCTATGTGAACCCTGCCTACCTGTAGAATCAAAATAAAGTGGTTCATAAGTTTTCAAACCATAGAAAAATTTGAATCAAAACAATCATATATGGTTGAAATATTTGGCTTAGACAAGGGGTGACCTTGCAGCTCTCAGAGGAACTCACAGGATTGGTTGGGAAAACAATGAACAAACAAAGTTAAAAATGGAACCTCGCACAAAAACGAAAGAGCTGCAACCCATAGGGGTCCAGTAATTTATTAAATTAGAGGTTCTACTGTAGACAAGCCAATGTATGTGCCACATACCAGTAGATATACACCGAGTACAAAAACGTAATAATAACATGTTTACAGAATGACGCTAAAATATTAATTGCCCTTTTGTCTTTAATTTTATAGTCCTTATACTTAAACTAGCTTGGTCACTGTCTGTCACTTGCCCAAGGAACACTACAATCTGCTCTTTTTCCACCATGTTCCCATTGGCTTCGTATTTATTTTGAAGCTTACCATCTCCTTTGTCTCATTGTTGTACTGCAAGGCAATGTGAGTCCAGTTGTTGTACGTAAAGTTGCCTGTTACCACTTGTGTGCTATTCAATCCACCATGAATTTTTCCACCACTCACGGACAGGTATACCCCTAAAACAATAATAATATTACTAATTTAGTAATTCATATGTTCCCATTAAAACGTTACCATTCATGTGAAGTAGACAAAGAAGTTCATTACATCACTATTTGCTACTAACGTGGAAGCTTAAAGAGACAAAATCCACAAGACATACCAGTGCCTTCCTTGGTGCCAAAGATAGGAATAACATCAGGGCTATTGCAAACTTTTCTGGATCCACAACTTGGACTGAAAGATTCAGGTGACAAAAAACAGGTATTTAGTGGCATAGAATGTTATTTTAAAAAAAACACACAACTTACAGGAACTACTCTATAATTACAACTTTCAAAACACATGGAAAATTAAAGGAAAATGGCTTGAATTACCAAGAGTTTTGGAAAGTGGGTAGAGTTAAAGTGTTAAACTGTGGAGGGGCAGTCCGGTTTGGATGAAATTATTTGGAAGTTCAAGAAAACAGGATTCTTCTGTGTAATATCTCAGTAGCCTGTGTGCAGAGATCTCCCACTTTCTTTATTACATGTAGAAAATGGACAGAGAAAGTAGGAGACTTTTCAGACATCTGCATGCAGGCTAATATCTCAGTAATTTTATCTGTTTTGTCTTGTAATTTTCTCAGGCCCAAGTTGTTCAAAGGTGGATGATAGCATTATCCATCGGATAAATCTGTATCCACCGGATAGCACAATTGGTTTTCCTAATACTTATACACTGGATAGCGATTTATCCAGTGTATAGTGCTATCCATCTTTTGAACAATGCGAGCCTCAGGCCAGCAAAAGGATGGAAATGACAATTCTGGGATCAAAAGGACATTATTAGACAAAAACAACAAGAGACAGAAAACTTCGAAAATCAAGTGAAGATTACTTTAAAAGGAGCCAGATAACTGAAAAAACTACTCAACCAGTAGATATTTTGAATACCTAAACGAGATGTCATCAATAGCAATATCACTGACACCCCCATATCCTCTGGCTGCTGTGAATCGAACAGCAACAAGTCCCTCATAGATCTACAAAGACAAAATTATTCACAGCTCTCTACTACAAATTATGGAGCAAAATATTTTATTGACCTTTTTTACCAAATTTTCAAAATGGCAATAATTCTTTTAATGCTTTTCATAAAAAACATTTTCACAAGATTTAATGATTACAGTAAAACCTTGATGTCTCTCAGAAATCTGTCAAATACTTGGTGTTAGTATTTTAAAAAATGGTTATTTTAGAATAACTGTACTGTTTAACAAAACATAATTTATTATTTCTTCAGTTTTTAAAGAATTATCTAGGAAATTTCAAGGTAGCCTGATATGCTCCTCCAAAAACTTTGCTTCCTTTGTTCTTGATCAGACTACCTTACTTTTCTCTTAATTGCCCTCCAGGATTCAAATACATATGTTTGTTCCTGAAACTATGCATTATCTTATCACTACTTCATGTAAGAATAGTATTAACAAACCCTGATACTCCATGGGTTTGTTTTTTTATACACCTGTACAGTATGTTGTACCAAAAAACAGTGTTGTGGAGAACAAATTCACAACATTAATTTCTCAACAGCTCATGAATATTTATTGCTACTAATTAAAACAATGTATACATCTGCTCCAAGTTCTGCTTTAAGTTCTGCTAGTTTGCTGTTTACAGAGTATTTGTTATCATTCCTTTTTACACTAAATTAATGTGTGTAACCAGAAATATTTAAATGGTAAGCAAAACTGCTTTGTGCAGATAAAAAGAGACTATTACTGAGTGTTTTTTAAGAAAGAACTTTGTTCATAACTGTAGTCTTATGTTTAGTTTTATCTTCAACAACATTTGAACTTTTATCTTAAACAACATTCATTTCAAATACTCTAGATCTATATTATCTTGTTCATGAAATGTTAATATAAAATGTTTTTACTTTGTTTCATCAGCCCACAACATAACAAGATTCTGAAGTATGTAAATCACACTATTGTAAATTGAAACTAGTTCTCTATAAATAAGAAATGATGTGAAATCCTGAAACCATGGTGATGGAACTTATCAATAGTGTGAAGTTCTACTGCACGAAATTCAGGTAAGTCAAACATTCTAAAGTTTAAGTAAATATATAATTATTTTAAACTAGTAATAATATTTAAAATGTGAACTTTTTCAGTAGATTATTGAATTGAGTAAGTCACTACTTAATAGGGCTGTCAGAAAAAAACTCATAAGCAAGTAAAAACCACCACCTACTACAAGTTTTGGGGGACCTCTTTAGTATGCAGCCTAAAAATTTCAAGGAGCCCGGTCAAGTATCTGCATGCAAGCAGTGATTATAATTATAAACACTCAGGAAATTGTTTTCAATCAGAGTATCTGCTCATGAAGCTTAAATTAACTCACTAGTAAAACCTGGAGCTCTCTTTATAGAAAATGTTGCCTAACAGTAATAAATGTTGCCTAACAGTAATAGTTGACTGCGTGGTCAGTCAGCTTTGAGAATTTCCCAGTGGTACGGGCCCCCGTATTACACTCTGTGGAGCTGTGAAAAAATTAAAATTGCTTAAAGCCTAGTGGATTTTTATTTGAGAATACAAACAAAAATGTAACTGACAACTTCTCATACAATGTCCTAGCCTGCATAGCTGGCAGAATTGCAGGCTAGGACATTGTATGAGAAGTTGTCAGTTACATTTTTGTTTGTATTCCCAAATAAAATAGTTATTATTGTTGTAGCATGTGAGAGTTTTGGAAGCAAAGCCGCCATGCTTGCCGCGAAAAGCAAGTGCAGAAGGTGCAAGTTCAAAGCGTCTCCTTCCCACTCTCCGCGCTGCTTCACAGCCTCTCTGCCAAAACTTTCCTTGCATGAATGATCCCTCTGGCTATGCAGGCTAATAATGTCCTCAATCCTAAAATCTGTTAAAACTGTATTAACTTGGTAATGAGTCAAACCAAATTTAATGAATATTTATTGAAATCAATGTATTGTTTTTCCTATTTTTTTTTTTTTTTTTTATTTTTACAGTTACTCAAACTCTGACTGAAAAATGTCTTCAAAAAGTCAAGCTTATTCCAGTGGAGAGGTCCACAAAAAGCCAGCTGAAGAAAGAAACAGTTCAAGGGGATCATCACCCTGTGACAGCCAGCGAAGTCAAATGAAATGCAATCAGAGAAAGTCAGACAACAGGAGTCCTGCCTCAAGGGGATATCCAAAGGACTGCATAGGTCAGTAAACCTGCCTTACAGAACTCCTTAGAGGGTAGAAAATAAGAAGTGCATGCTAGAGACCAGACCAGGTAGCTTTGTAAAAAAAATCTTTCTCTCAACTAAAAAATACAGTCAAACCCTTTAACCCATTCGCTCCTGGAGATTTTGCCGAAAAACGTGTTTTGAGGCTAGTCGAGTGGTTTTCTGGTCACTGTCGTGCTATAAAGAGCTAAAACTTACCACAAACCGGTTTACAGGTCGTACACTTGGCGGCCTTCTGATCCAGATGCAAAATATCAGCTTACGAAGTTCGGGCATGCGCAGAAAGCAAAATTTCGACATAGTTTTTGGGTTTAAAAGTGACACAGCAGTCTTGACTTTTACTTTTCGCTTTCTCTCCTCCCTTCTTTTTTCGCTTTTCTTGCCTCATTTTTTTTTTCTCTTGCTGGGCATTTAGTAGGCTTCATTTTGGTGGGAAGAGTTTTTAGGAAAGCTTTTAGGATCTTAGGATTAGGTGAAAGGAAAGGTAGGTGGGTAATGGAACAAGATTTTCATGGAGATTTTCAGGTCCTTGTCACGTGGTTTTTTGCTTCTTTCTCCGGTGTCCTTGACTGAATTGTGCTCATTCTGGTATGGTTTGAAAGATCTCTTCACCCTGCACAAGTTAGCGAAGAAAGTTGTCCTTGACCGTTAAAACTGATGACGTCACAAAGGGTAGAAAGGACCTGGATCCGCACGGGCGGTTACGGGCGGTTCAGGGGCGAATGGGTTAAATAATGCAACAGAGGGGGCCACAGAAAGTGTCTGTATTAACGGGGTGTCCATATTAAGAGGCTTGAATTTAGAGAAAATAATTTAAGGCCTTTTTTCTGGAGGGACTAATCAAGCTGTCCGTAATAAAGAGGTGTCCATATTAAGCAGGTGTCCATAAAGGGGGGTAAGTGTTCTCAGCAAATATTTGATCCTCAGCAGATTTTGATGAGTTTTCAAAGCAAGGAGAGAACAAAGCTGTGAAATACAGAACAGCACATCTGCAGTGGCTCCTAGGTAACAACGTGTTCTCACTCAACAACATGGATCAGTGGCAACCTGACTTGCGTCAATGGACACCTAGTAGCAGTGCAAGATATCCATTAAGAATGACAACACCCAAGCCATCTACTGACCCAGACTCATGTAAGGTCAACATGAATACTCAAAACTATTCCACATCTTCATTGTTCTATACATCATGGGCATGAGTGTAATAACTTATTGTCAGCATGTAGCAAACAACATCGCAAAATACATGCATTCAGCAAATCCAAAGACTACCATCTTTTCCTGGATTGGGGAAATATTAAGTAAATAAAATAAATAGGTTATTTTAGTATTTGTGGTAGTAACTTCACGAGGTGGTTCTTCATCTACCATTCTTGAAAATTGAAAACAGGGTTTGAAAATGTTGGTTTTGAGGAGGGGGTAAAACTGGAAACCCAGAAAAAACCTCTTGGAGCAATGGAGAGACCCAACAACAAACTTAACCCACATAATGGCATCACCTTTGTGAATTAACCCAGGCTTCACTGGTGGTTTATGTGGGAGGCATGAACATTGTATATTTGATGAGTTATCTCATTCTCCAGTAATAATAATGTTTTGCTGATGCATTTCTAGTGCCTGAGGATTATCAAGTACACATTTACCATGGGAAAAGGGACAGAGTGTGGGTGAAACAGTGGATATCAGCAATGATGGAGGCCAATAGATTTATCATCACTACTAACCAACAACCATCAAGAAATGTTTCAAGAGTTATCCTTGTCCTCACACCAGAGCTTTTTAATGAGTCATTTTTCTCAGAGATTATTGATGCTATTCAAGGAAAAATTGTTCTTGGTATAAAGTTGAGAAACTGTAACGTGCCTGAGGAAATTGGAAAGGAATGCAGCAGCTACATGGACCTAACAACAATTGACTTGAGTGACTTGAATTTTCATATTTCATTCATGTTCAGGGTAAAAAAGTCCCTTAAACTGCCGGTATCCATTTGCTCAGCATAAAGTGCATGACTGGTCAATGAACTCAGGAGATATTTCTAGTAGCCTCTGAATTATTTCTTCATTAATAATTCATTTACTATTTATTCATTCAGTGATTTACTAGCTATTGTTCATATGTAGGGTGTATTAACATTTCCTCTCCTTGGACATTACTTTCCGTAATGGTGGAATGTTTGTACAATGGACTTATTAGGATTATTGTGTACAGTGAACAACTTGGTTTTGATTTTTTGCTTTTACTTTTGTTTCTCATAACTTTTTCTTGACTCCAGCTTGGAGTGTGATAAAAAGCTGGGTAAGGCATCCACTCTCCCAGGATTTGGGAGAGATTCAGATAAAATTACATGTAAGCCTGAGCACAACTAATTAAAATTAATACATTCAGAGTGCAACTAATTACTGTTAAGTGCTTGAAACACACTTATCAAAATCCTCACCTCTCCCCTCCATCTATAGGGAAAACTGGAATTAAAAAGGTAATTTCAAAGACTTTTCACTTGATTAACCTTAATCTGCCCTTATTTTGTTGGGTGTCCTGAAAATTATCACCCTGAAATTAGTTCACTAAAACCCTTGGGTAACTGCTTCTACCTCCCTTCACAATTGACAGATTAAAAATAAAGTCAACTCTCTCTACAGCTGTAACACAGAGACCAATCAGATTGACTGTAAGTGTCTGTCTTATAGAGGTCTCTACCTATACTGCAGTCAAAGAAAAGAACTGAACAACAAAAGTCCTATGACTGTAGGGGTTTTTTGGGAGAGGTGTTCATTGAGGAAGAGACATACTGTAACTTAAATGTTATTACCTGACAAAATGAAATGCTAAAGACTTACTGAGAGATCCACATTGCCTTGATGCCATGTATCGCCTTGATCCCCACCCTTATGGAACACTGCAAACCATGTTTTATCCACAGTCTTTACTTCCACAGTCAATGTCCCCATTTGGGGTATCTTCTTAGACCCATACAGTTCAGTACTTAACATGTGGTAGAAGAAGCTCATGTTGCACTCAAGACCAGTTGCAAACCATGGAGTCTCAAAGGAGGCCTACAGAGAAAGGTATGTTTGACAATAAGTTTTTATAAAATAACTAAGATAGTACATGCATTCTGATTGGATAAAAACCTATGGTTTATTGTGCGGTAAACTCATAGAAAATTGAAACTTATTCTGTTTTACTTAAAGTTATTTTATAAAAGCAATAGACCACGCTTTCTATGGGTTAACCAGCGTGATAACCCACTTGGGATGTTGGGAGAACACTTGAAAAGCTTGTGAATCATGAGCCGAAGGCGAGTGATTTATAAGCTTTTCTCTTGTTCTCCCAACATCCCGCGTTGGTTATCACGCTGGTAAACCCATAGAAAGTGTGGCCTATTGCTTAAGTAAACACCTTTCAAGAAAACAATACCAGAGCTTTTGGAACAAAAATAATTGCTCCATTTTTCACATGAAATAAACTGTAAGTTACAGTGTGTATTCAAATGATTAATCAAACCAGTAAGAGAAATAAATAACATTATTATTCAACTGCACTCGACCTACAGGCTCGCCAAAATACAGCGTGACTCATAAAAATATCCCACGACACTACACACTAAATCATCCAATAAGATAATATATATTATATTTGAGTGGACTGCTTTTTTTAACTGCCCAATAAGCTTTGATAGGATCAAGTGAAGTGACTGTTAAGGCATCTGTAACTAATCGAATCATAACAACAATAAGCAGCATTTAGTCATTTTATTATGGGCCCTTTTCACAGATGCAGTGTTTGCCATTACATTAATGGTCATTTCAAAATCTTTAAGCCATTTTGAGCAACTTTGTTTTAAAATCTGGCAAAATCCTCACAAATAGAGCATTTTTTGTTATTATAATAATTATTTGTTTATACACACCCTATCCCCTTTGCTCACAGATGTTGTTTCCAAATAAGCATAATATCCTGATATGCCAGGAGTATGGTCATTTGTTGGCCCAGTGAATCCCGATGGGGTTTTCTTGTTAGTCAGTTGCCAGTCCCGTTCATCATCTGAAGACTGCAGGAGAAATCCCAGACTAGGGGTGCTGTTCCCAAAGTCTATCAGTGGTAGGTCACAAATGGTTCTTCCACTACAAAGGAAACAGTATTACAACAGGGACGTTCTTACAGCAGCATTAAGTCTCACTTGCTTGGAGATTAGATTGAGAAATGAGGAGGCGATTAATTCTACACAAAACAGGATTTATTTGCTAAAGGTTTTTTACTTGCAATTTTCAGGGGTCTGTGTTTTCGGGTCTTCATTTTCACTACAACCGAGTAGGTGTTGGACAGTGGTGAGAGCACTTACCTGGCACCAATGTGGCCGGTGAGTTCAAATTCCAGCTTTGACGCCATGTTAGTTAAGTTTGTTGTTGGTTCTATCCCTTACTTTGAGAGGTTTTCCTCCAGGCACTCCAATTGTCTCTTTCCACAAAAACCAACATTTCCAAATTCCAATTTGACCATGAAGGTAAATGAAGACCATTATGTGCATGTGCAACCTCTAAATAGTCATTTATTCATTCATTCATTTACTAATTGATTAATTGATTGATTGATACTCACTTGGCACCAGTAAGCCATGCCCAAGCTGCCACAGTGAAGCTGCTGCTTAAGTCTCCCAAGATGTCCCCCAAGGTTCCTAAATCAGCATAACCACCTTTGCCTTGGAAGCTCAGAGTATAGTCACTAATCTAAGAAAACAATCAAATAAAGTTAATAACATAAATATTTTAAAAATACTAATACCGTAAATTCTGAAAATAAGCCCCGGGGCTTATATTTTTCAAAGGCCCTTTTTGAGGGGCTTATTTTTGGAGGGGCTTATCTACAGAGGGAAATTTGCGCTTCAAAATTGATTGGGCTAGCCTTAAAGTTGGAATTAAATTTACCGTTTTTGCTTTGTTTAACTTTGTATTTGAGGGTAATTTTCCACGTGCAAGCCCCCGGGGGGCTTATATTTGGAGGGGCAATTTAACGGAGGGGTTTTCTGTGTTACAAGTTTGGGGGGCTTATATTTGGAGGGGCTTATACGTATGAATATAATTTTCGGAATTTTATGGTATTATTTCAGCCCGATTAACAATAATTAAATTATAGCATTGTGAATGTTTCAGGGAGCAGGGAGGTGCAAAATGAAGTTGATTCCATGGGCATTCAGAATGGATATACAATATGTTTGAAGATGTGAAGAAGGTGACTTGGGAACACAACAAGGAATGAAGAACTGGTGGTGGACACGTAAGCAGAGGTTTGTCTGTGAAATACTGCCACATACAGAAAAGTGTGATAAAATGATTCCCCAAGGGACTGGCAAAATATGTTTGCCATTATAATCCAGCTTCTTTTCCTTATATCTACCCTTGGTTATACTGATGAGTTTGTTGTATAGAGGTTCATTATATCAGGTTTCTACTGTATTAGGTGCTGGGGCATAGCTGAACTTGGGTGGGTTCCCCAAGATTCCATAGGGGAAGTTCACCTATATTTGCCATTTTAAGAGAGTTGAATTAGAGGAGGAAAAAAAACGCACCTTCATTTTGATAGCTTGGGACATTTTCATTTCCCTTGCCATCGTCATAATGTTTGCTAACTAAAAGGCACTCTATACTCATGAAAGTGACAGTTCCATTTTTGGTTTTACTGCAAACTGGTATGACCAAATGCAGCTAAGTATAGGATAAGCTGGGCAAATTGTTTACACTACAAAACATATTTGCGAATGTGCAAGGCATCGGATTCACTTTAGATTTCGGATTCAAAATCTGTAGAGACTTGAGCAAATCGGCACCTTTTCAATTCGGATTCAAGCACTGCATTTGCTTAAAAATGACAAAGCGAATCCAGAAACAAGTATTTAGCCTTATTGTATGATAGATGATTGACGTGCATCAGTCAATGGACCAAACACGCAAAAAAATATTCTTAAGTTGGTAATGTCATTTCGTATGCAGAAAAACTCTTAAGGCCGATACACACGAGGGATTTTGCTCCCGGAGCATGGTCCAGGGGCACGCTCCGGGAGGGGCTGCAAAGCGATTTGAAGAATTGATGGCTTCCTTCACCACACATCAAACTATCAAATCATGCATATCCCCAGCTAAAGGCAATGGAGACTCTTTGAGATCTTCATCATTTAACAAGCATGCTTTTGTAAAAAAAGCACGTAATATAATGTTTATTTTCCTTTTTTTCTTTTGAAAGAATCAGTAGTAAATGTTAGAGAGACGAAGTTTCTCAAACATCACATTTCCAGCAAACGCCAAAGATGACTATGCATGGTTACTTAAAAAATTTGTTTGATTTATTATTGACAGATAAACATTAGTTACTGACATTTTTCATAAAAGGAATGTTTGATCTGATTTCCAAAAGAAATGATTCAACTAAGTGTTACCTGTGGTGAGCCAGCAAATAATGCTGAGTAGTACACCCCTGTCTGTGAGTAGACATACATGCCGAGACGACCACCTCTGTATCGCTTGTCAATTATGTTCCCTGAGTCTGCCAGTAGTTTTTTCCCCTGTAAGCAGCACAGAATAAATAATTTTATTATTGCACTCAACAAAAATGTTACAATAATATATGATGTTCAGTGCTAAAAATATTTTGTTGTCATACTGAATATCTTTTTACTTGTCCATTTATTTGTGTTTTTTTTTTTAATTTAAAAATAATAAATTAGCTACATGTGTGTGTTTTTCATTTCACTTATCATATCTAGCTTATGATTTGTAATTAAGGAATTCTATAATGACATTTTACTTAAGACCAAAGTGATACTTACGCGGAGTTAGGCTTGAAATCAACAATGTACAACATAATGCAGTGTACTTAAAATGTTAATAAATATTTTATCATTTGGCAATTGGAACCATAAAAGTCTAATGATTAAAAATTAAATTCAAGCCACAGCTAGGTGAAATAGGCCAGGGTTCTTAGATTACCTCCAAAATGTGTTACTGTTTTCTTTTTACGTGATTTGTTCAATAAAAAGAAAATCTCGTACCTCATACCAACGTATGCGGATTCTGCCAGAGTCTGGATTAAGCAGTAGCCTCCAAAGATATGCCAGACTTGAATTCCACTGTGGGGCGGGGTCATACCACAGTATATGAGTCTGATTAACGGTGTTTCCTGTCTCCCACAAGGCATCACGAAGGCCGATACCAGGACCTGTGCTAGACTCAATGGCCTGAAGTAATTATTTCAATCAAATTAAGAAGTTTCTTAATTTTCTTTTTACTATTATTGCCAACAATAATAAAGGTTAATGGACTAAAGGTAAAAAATGTGACAAATTACTTTATTAACACACTAGTTTAAAAGTAAGGCTATGTTCACACTATATACACAGGAAAAAAATAACGGATTCCCATTTTTGGATACCCATAAAAATACCAAATTTGGCACAGTGAGACAAGTCCCAACTAGGGAATTCCCAACCAAGTTCCCTGATTGGGACTTGGCTCACTCTTCCAAATTTGGGATTTTTGTGGGTATTCTTTAAATACCCTAAAATATCCAAAAATGGGAGTCTGTTATTTTTTCCTGATACCTGATAGCTTTTTGTGCCAATATGATATGCCAGTATAGTGTGCACACCCATTCAGTATGTGATGCTCAACCTTAGAGATTTGGCACAATGCAAATTTGCTCCATTACAGAAATAACGGCGACATCATCATTCTTCTGTGTGGATAGAAGCCCTATCCGGACATGTGTGACAAGGTTTTAAACGCTGCCCTTGGCAGCAACGATAACAAACTTAACAAGTTATTAACTTTGCACTTCCAAAGAGGCAGACGGACTGTTTTAACAACACTTTCATTTTGTCATCGTGCCGAAAGTACAATTAAATGATTTGGTTTTAATGCTTTTATACATTATATGCATGAATTTTTAATTATATAGTAAATTATTCTATTTTTTAGCTTAGTTTTATTTGTAAATACGCAATTCAGCCTCTGGCTGCCTGTGCATTTATTCTAGTAAACTATCTATCTAAACTAATCTATCTATCTATGAATTCCATGCCAGCACATAAGCTATCTGTTATAGTGTGCATATAGCCTAAAATATTACAGGTATGATTTGGTTACTGGGCGAATAGATTCAAGAGGAAATGCCATGTTTCCTTAGAAAATAATGCATGCCTTAAGCAGGGCTGTCATTAAGTTTTGAAGCAGCCATAGCAAATCAAAGATCACCCACAACATCTCACATAAAATTTATAGAGTTATGTTGGCTTTCAAGAGAGCTCAGCCATGACAGGTGTTACGGGTTACGGCCCTTAATGAGTGGATGATAAGTTCAGGTGATATGTCGAAAACAAGGGTGAGACTGCTACTTCTTGATCACAGGTTTCAAATGCCAAGAAACAGATGAAAGCGCAAGGCCAGGAAAAAGCCTGTGTTTTTGACATGTCTTCTCAAATGAAACAATAAGAAATTATGCAGTGACATGTTTTCTCTGGTATTTGTTGGCTTTTGCATGACTGCATGAATAATTAATGAGCTTCGGAATTCCTACATTAACATACCATGAGACTGATTCCTTGTCTTGCAATAGGTCTTGGGTAAGAGGCATTTTCATCTAAATTGTAATACTGATATTTTTTCTTCCAGGAGCACAGATAGAAGTTTCTGAAAAAAGGAACAAAAAAACACGCAGAAATATAGCTGATATACTGATTGTACTGAGTTTAAATTTTGCCCCTCCAAAGAAAATATTCCAGTATGATATTGTCAGTTATTTGTATACATATAACTTAACAACCAGAAAAAAATCTTAAGTTTTGGCTCATGATACTGATCTACTTCTAGAAAATCCAGCAAGGAAATGAGATGAATAATATATTAAACAAATGTGGATCTTTTTACATTTCTCAGTGATGTTTTAAAGTACAAATTCATTTTAGAATATGTATTCACAGTGTTCTCCCTAAATTTTAGCTCAGCAGGTAAGGGACCATTCATAGCCGGGTAAGGCAAAAGATATGCACCAAAGGGGCACTTTCCTGGAGGCAGTAAGGTAGTGGACGTTACGACATGGCCCCACCCTTACTGGGAAATTTAGGACCTAAGTTCTCTGAAACGTAATTCCCTCTTTTACACAAATTGACCATTGTTACCTTTACACAACGATTTAAAATGATTGATTCCAATAAGTTTACTCTGTCCTCTCAGTGACTGTTCTTTCCAAAATGCGTGGCCCATATAAAGAAAAGCTGTGTATACTTAAGTACTTTTCCATAGTATTCTTTCATTTCCTTGTGGCATGTGTGAATCCGGATCAGATTAAAACTTGTGTATTTTTTAAAAGTACTTCTTTAATTTTAGTAAACCTTCAGGCTGTTGCAGGCAGTAAGAAGAGTTGCTTCAGGCGGTAAATGGTTACCACTTGATAAGGAAAACACTGTAATCAGTGTCCTAAAAAAATGAAGCATTAGACTGCAGTTCCAGATATAGAGGATATTACATGACCGCGCGGAGATATGAAATTTCTCTTCAAGTGTTGAAAAATATTTCACGAGTGAGCGCAGTGAACAAGTGAAATATTTTTTCAACACTTA